CACCTAACCCTGTTTGCCTCAGTTTCCTCATCTGTAAAATGAGCTGGAGAAGGAAATGGCAAACCGCTCCCGTATCTTTGCCAAGAAAACCCCAGCTGGGGTCACAGAAAATCGGACACAACTGAAATGACTTAACAACAACAACAAAAGTAATTAAATGGTGTTGCCCTTGACAGAAGTAGTAGTTTTCCCACAAATAATTTGAAATATGGGCCTGAAGCTCTGGATAGAAGTCAGGGCTTGAGATACGAATTTAGGAGTCATTTTCAGAGGTGACAGTGGAAGTGGGTAAGATTGCCAAGGAGAGAGGGAGACAGAGACAGAGACAGAGAGAGGGGGAGAGAGAGAGAGAGGGAGAGAGAGAGAGAGAGAGAGAGAGAGAGAGAGAGAGAGAGAGAGAGAGAGAGAGAGAGAGAAGAGAGAGGAGAGAGAGAGAGAGAGAGAGAGAGAGAGAAGGAGGGGGGGAGAAGGAGAGAGGAGGGGGAGGGAGAGGGTTAAGATACTTGGGAAAGAGCTAGGCAAGAAGAGGGAGGGCTCAAAAACCAGAACTGGATCTAAGAGATTCAGATGGGCGCAGGAGATCCCCAAGAGAGACAGCAGGCTCCTCTTGCTTCAGTTCTTCAATGTGATCTCATCCCTGTGGGTCCCCCAGTCAACTGAATAAATCCCAACCCACCCCTCCCCCCAGTCAGGAGGAGTCCACGTCCTTCCATGAATCTTCCCCTTTCACTCATTTAACATTCCTCAAATGCCAGGGTGGTACTTATTTTGTGCATCTTTTACCCTGGAGTCAGGAGGCCTCAGTTCACCACCCAACTCAGAGAGCCCTGGCCGGATCCTTCTGAAGTATCGGGTTCAGATCTGGCCACCACAGTTGAGGAAGGAAATACTGACCCAAAGGAGACACCAAACCGAATCCTCACCTGGAGTCCATGCCACATGAGAAATGACTTATGGAACTGGGGATGTTTTAGCCTGGAGAAGAGATGGAGAGGCCACATGATAGTATTTGAAGGGTTGTCATGTGGAAGAGAAATGATGAGCAGCTAGGTAGCTGAGTTCAAATCTGACCTCAGACACTTGACACTTACTAGCTGTGTGACCTTGGGCAAATCACTTAACTCAGATTGCCTCACAAAACACCCTCCCCTGGGAAAAAAAAAAGAAAAAAAGAAAGGAAGAAAGAAAGAAATGAGATTTGTTCTGTTTAGCCAGAAAGGGCAGAACATGGAGCAATGGAAGAACAAATTTAGGCTAGAGGTCAGTGGGAGTCTACCCCACCCAATCAATCACAGAAGGCCCAAGGAGATCAATTAAATCAATCAGAAGTGTCATCTAGATACAAACAAGTCCTTAACTAGTTTGAGAGGAATAAAGAGCTTTGATTATTAGATAATGTTATCAATGACATCACACAACAAAAGACTTGTGATTGGCTGAAAGAACCCAATACCATTGGGCTACATTCAAAAACAGCCATCTAGATTGTAGCCAAATTCAGGAGCTGAGGTTTCCAGACCCTGACGGGATCAGTCTTCGGGGAAGAAGAGAAAGTGCTTCTCTTTCTCTTCTCCCTTCCCCATTCACCATTTAAAATATTTTTTTCAATCAGCAAAAATCTGCCTTCTCTCCCTCTCTCTGCCCCACCAAACTGAGAATGGAAGGTGGGGGGAACTCTGTTACAAACATGTATAGCTAATAAAGCAAATTTCTGCATTGGACATATCTGAAAGGGAAAATACACACACACACACACATACATATACATGCACACACACACACACACACACACACACACACACACATACATGCACTGGCTTAGAAATTAGAATTCAGATGCCACTCTGCTCCTGAGGTTTGAGTCACATAGCTGTTTGCTTGCTTCTGACCTTTTTCCCCTCTCAGTACACAGCCCAGGGCTCCTTAGCCTGAAACGTAGGTCCCCTTCTCAGTCTGTCCTGGATCTATAACTAGGAATTAGATAGTTGCCAGTTGGCACCGGTTCCCACCCTTTGCATAAGGTCTCCTTGCCCCTGTGTGGGTCTGTGACCTCCTCTTGCCCTGGGGCACAGCCTCTCCCTGCACCGGAATGTGAGTTCCTGGCCAGAACTCATTCCCAGTGTCCACACACCTCTCCTTCTGTGTCCCTGAGTCAATCTGGGCTGAAAAAATGAATTACTGTGACTTTTCCCTGAATTTCCTCTTTGGGATTTGGTTTCGTGCATTTTCTGATCTATCTAGAGGAGGTTTGAGGGAGCGTTTCCTGTACTTCATCCAACCAGTCTGCCATCTTGGCTCCCCTCGCCCCACCCCCCCCCATTCACCATGTTACCAGAGACACTAGGCTAGCAGCCAGGAGTAGAGACAAACATATTGAGAATAAAGAAAAAAAGTTACCAAATATTCAGAGATGGGATTGACTACATTATGACCCTGTGAACTTCAAAAGGCCCAAAGAGGGGCAGCTAAGTGGCACAGTAGATAGAGCACCTGGAGTCAGAGGACCTGAGTTCAAACCCAGACTCAAACACTTAGTAGCTGTGTGACTCTAGGCAAGTCTCTTAACCCCAACTGCCTCGCAAAAAAATTAAAAATTTAAAGATTAAAAAAAAAAGGTCCAACGACCTAGAGCTCTGGTCAGGGTTGGTAGCAGTGTCCACTGGATATGGGAGCAGCCTCCTTGAAGTATCTGTGGCTGAGGTCCTGAACCGGGGAGCTGCCAGTCATAGGGAGACAAATTAGAGAAAGTTAGTTTCAGGATTCTACAAAAGCATTCCCTCTTCTAGCCCGGTTAGGGAGCTACAGCTAAGGGGAACTTGAGGAAGATTTCAGGAAGAGAGAAAAAACCTAGTAATAAGGGGCTGTGAGCTCCCCCTTTACCACACGAGCTGTCTACGTGTGTCCCTTAATCAAAATTTTACTAGAAGTTCCAACCTACCCTCACCATAGACCTTTCTTGTGTTGGGAATGCATCCCCCAGTTTGGGGGGACTGTCTCTGTAACAACTACCCTTGTTCTACCCACTTAGTAAATATCCTTTCTAAAAGCTAAGCCTGACTGTTAATCAATGAGAAGCACCCCACTCTGGCCGGGATCAAGAGAGACAATACTAGAAATGCCAGTCCCTAAGGGGGACATTAGTATCATAACCTGGTCGATCTCATCTCTAAATATCTGTAACTTTTTCTGGAAAATGTTCTTTTTGTTCTCAACACATTTCTCTCTACTCCCAGCCAAAATATTAGAACTAGACATGATACTGGAACCTGAACCCCAAAGAGGCTCAGCCAGCCCTTAGAACTCCAAGAAGGAGGAGGAGGAGACAGTCGACCTCAGGGGACCTCACAGGCTAATACAAATTCAAGTTGAGGAAGTAGCCTGAGAGGGTGCTATATCAGGAAAAACCTCCTAACAGTTACTCAAAAATGAAATGAACTTCTATTCTCATCTGTGGAGTGGGGACTATAATAGCTGTAGTATCTATTTCACATGGGCACTATGTGGCACCATAGCGCATAGAATGCCAGACCTGGAGTCAGAAAAGACTCATCTTGAGTTCAAATCCAGCCTCAGACACTGACTAGTTCTGTGACCCTGGGCAAGTCCCTTCACCCTGTTTGCCTCAATTTCCTCATTTGTAAAATGAGCTAGAGAAGGAAATGGCAAACTACTCTAGTGTCTTTGCCAAGAAAACCCCAAATGGAGTCATGAAGAGTTGGACACAGCTGAAACTGACTGAACATCAAATCTCCTTCACAGGTATGTCGTAAAACTCAAAGGAAACAATATATGCCAAACCTTTTGCAAATCTTTATAAAATTCTAAAAAATTTATACATTTATAAAATTTCTTTTATAAAATTTTGCTATTTCTAAACTTAAACACTGAATAAAATGTATATTTCCATATGTAAAGTACAGCTGGAAAAGGACATCGAAACCATGGGTCTCTATGACATAAAACTTGCATTTTCTTTTTATTATGTACAAGATGCCATCTGTAAGTTTCAAAGCTGCCCTGTTTGTTGCATCGACTTTGTAAACATTAACTTGCTATATAAATGCCAGTAGTTTTATTTTGTGTATAGATCATATCGTCTTCCTCATCCCCCATCCACTTAGAAGAATGTAGCTCCTTGAGGACAGGTGTGTGTGTGTGTGTGTGTGTGTGTGTGTGTGTGTGTGTGTGTGTGTGTGTGTGTGTGTGTAATATATAACCTCATTACAATAGATGTTGTTCAGTCATTTTCAGTTGTATCCAACTCTTTGTGACCCAATTTGGAGTCTTCTTGGCAAAAATACTAAAATGGTTTGCCATTTCTCCAGCTAATTTTACAGATGAGAAAACTGAGGCAAACAGGTGAAGTGACTTGCCTACGGTTACACAGCTGTAAGTGTCTGAGGCCAGATTTGAACTCACAAAGATAAGTCTTCCTGATTCTAGGCTCAGCGCTCTATCCATTGCGCCACCTAGCGCCCATGTAACAGATTAAAAACAGATCAATGTTGGTTGTAAAGTATGAGTCAAAGGCTATGTAGCGCCTAATGACATTAAGTCTCTACAGCTAGCTGCAGAGCGGGTGCTGGTCTGCAATGTTTCTCCCTGGGAAATCACAGGTCCCTTTAAAAAAAATGATCATAACAAGAGGATAGAGACTATATCCTTTTATTAATAGGTGATATTTCCACAGGGCTTTAAGACTGGCACAATGTTTTACACACATGATCTCATTTGGTTGTGGATACGGTCAGTATGAACTGGGGCACAGGCTGAGTCTGGGAGTGGGAGGCTTGGATGACTTAGGAAGGTGAAGGGGCTGGTTACTGTTAGGGAAAGGACGAAGGATGAAGGACTACAGTTCTGGGTGTTCGGTTAGGCTAAGCTCTCTGGGTTGGCTTATCACAGGGGAGGGGGCCCCCTACCTCATGACATCCTTGGTGCCGTTGCTAAGCTGCCCACAGCAAACATCGGAGCTGGCAGCACCGACGAGCTATTCCCCAACTGACAGAATCCTCCAGGCAGCTGCTGGTACTTCTGCAGTCTCCTCCCTGAGAATAGTTCAGAGGTAAGTCAGGAAATGACCACCAACATCCAAAACCAGCCTTTTCTGTTTCATGCCTTACAAGGGCTTATTTTTGCCAGGCTAGGCACTGGACGTTTATCTTGCTCAGTCTTTGAACAGGCAGAAAGATATAAACACATAGCAACAGCCCAGAGGCACAGGCTTAAATTAAGCACAGTCCCCAAAACTCATGCACACAAACCCTCTGTTGCACTCAGGCACCCTCTCCCACTATTTTCTACATCTCCCCTCTGTTTAAAGATATTTTTGACTCATTAGCTGAGGAATGCTGGAAGTTTGCGCAGACCAGTCATCAGACATGGACACATTACTCCTTATAGACTTACGATCACATACATGTACATACACACACTAGTATTCACAGACCCACAATCACAAATGGGCTCACTATCTCACAGAAACCCACCATCACACATAGACATGCTATCGCATAGACGGAGTCACAGTTCTACACAGGTACTCTAATCCTCACAGAACCACAGTCACACGTGAGTACTCAAGCAGACCCACAATCATACATCATCACAATACCCCTTATAGGCATACCGTCACATTTAGACACACTATCCCACACACAGATCCCCAGTTTCACATAGGTACACCACTCTCACACAGAGACCCATACCCTCATACAAGCACATAATCACAGTGCACCCCACACAGGCACACAACCATATGACCTACTGTCCTTCATGTTAACCCATGCTTGCACATGGGGATATACTCTCCCACATACAAACCTAAAGTCATCCGTGGGTACACATACTTTTTCATTCATACACTTTACATAGGTACAACCACCCCACATGGACCCACTATCCCAATGAGCTATGGTCACACACAACTTAGGAACCATCTCTCTGCACAGTTTTAAACCCGGAGTCCATGAACAATTTTTGAAAAATATTTTGATCAGGGCAGCTAGGTGGTGCAGTGGATAAAGCACCAGCCCTGAAGTCAGGAGGACCTGAGTTCAGGAGGACCTGAGTTCAAATCTGCCTCAGACCAAATACTTGACACTTACTAGCTGTGTGATCCTGGGCAAGTCACTTAACCCCAATTGCCTAAAATATACATATATTGATCACTGTATTTCAATATAATTAGTTTCTTTTATGATGCTCTAGATTTTATTTGGTGGATTTAAAATTCTGAGAAGGGCCTCAACAGACTGACTGCCAGAGGGGTCTATGACATTGAAAAAGTGAAGAATCCCTTGTCTAGGTCTTCCCTAAGTTTCCCAGTCAATCAAGATTATTGTGCTTTCACCCTTAGCCCACGTGCCCACCCCTGCCAACCTTTGTAAACTGGCAGCATTCCTCAGCTATTGAGTCAAAAACCTATCCAAACAGAGGGATGAAGTGGAAAATGGGCAGATCCCAAAAGATGACAAATGGTTCCCAGCATTCCTTAGCATTGTAAGATAAATTCACTGAGTTTCTGTCCTTAGACAGACTCTAGATTAGACAGTCAATGGAACTAAACCTGACGCTGATTCATACTGATGCTGGTGGGGTCGGGTGAATACAGTTAGGACTTGGGGACTGATGAAGGGCTGGGTGAAACTTACAAAAGTGATGGGGGTGGGAGGGAGGGAGAACCTCTCCCAAGGAAAGGGGTGTCTACAATGGAACCAGCTCCACAGAAGAATGTTGCCTATCTCTCCAAACTAATGCCCTCTCCCCAATTCTATTCACTTCAGCAAGCAAACCCCCTCAGTATGCAAGGTACTAGGGAGACTAAGATAGGATAGAAGCCTTGCTCTCAAGGAGCTTACAATCTAATGGGGAGAATGACAGGTTCATATCCAATAGGGAGCCTTTGTGTTCAACGCTGTGGTGGGGTCAATGAGGATGACAACAGAAATGATTGTATGATACAAGAGAGGGTGAGACAAGCACAAAGGAGGGTCCCAAGCAAAGTGCTCTGAGAATGTGAGGAAGGAGGGCAAAGGAAGGCTTCTTGTGGACTTTGAAGGAAGGAAAGGATGTCAATGGACAGAGTGGGAGAAGCATATTCCAGTCATGGGGGAAGGAGCAAATGTATAGAAATGGGAGAGAGTGGGACAGGGGTAGGAATAGGAAACAGAGAATAGGACAGTTTGGCTGGAGCTTAAAGTACACATGGGGAGTAGCACAAAATTAAGCTCCAATGGTAGGGTGGATCCAAAATGTGGAAGGCTTCAAATGCTGGAATCAGTAGTTAATGCATCATGGGAAATGAATGGGGAGTCATGAAAGGTGTTTAAGTAGAGGGGTGACATGTGCTGTCATTAGTATAGGGAACTTCCATATGAGGAAACTCCCTCCGCTAATACAGGTCAGCTCCTTCTTTACAACCTATAGCCTTAGAGAATTCTTTGGGGCATTAAAAGGTTAAGTGACTCACCTAGGGTCACATAGTTTGTGTCAGAGTCAGGATTTGAACCTAGGTCTTCCTGACTGATGCCAGCTTTCTATCCACTATGACCTTCTGCCTCAACATGATCTTAGAGAGAAATTTTAGATTATTTTGGCATCAGTGTAAAAGATGTTTGCAGAGGAGATACCCTGGAAATAGGGAGACCAATTAAGAGTGTAAAACAACAGCAGGAATAGTTGCCACTGGTATTGTTAGGAGGCAGCTAGGAGGCACAGTGGATAGAACACTGAGCCTGGAGTTAGGACCTGTGTTCAAATCCTTCCTCAGACCCTTAATAGTTGTGTGACCCTGAATAAGTCACTTCACCTCTGTCTGCCTTAGTTTCCTCAAATGGAAAATGGAAATAATAACAGCACCTACCTCCCAGGGTTGTTGTGTGGATCAAATGAGATAATATTTGTAAAATGTTTAACATAATACCTGACACATAATAGATACTTAATAAATCCTCCCTCCCTCTCCTCCTTCCTTCCTTCCTTCTTTCTTTCCTTCCTTGGAGGGGAGGGATTTGAGAAAGGATAGATCTGGAGAATGGGTGTCAGGTATGAAAGAGACAGAAGATGACTGAGGTTATGAGCCTGAGTGACATGAACAATGGGGCCCTCAAGAGAAATAGAAAAATTAGGGAGAAGACTAGGTTTTGGGGAGATGGATCCTATTTTGGACAGCTTGAGTTCACGGTGCTGGTGGGACTCCACACGGTTTTTGTAAGGGTCAAATGACATATCCGTGTGAAGCAGTTTGTAAATTTCAAAGGGCTCCATGAATGCCAGTTATCAGCATCATCAGACAGGCACAGATGTTCAGGAGGTAGTGGGAAATTTAGGACCAGAACTCAGGGGAGAGGGTTGGAATGCAGATATAGATCTGGAAGTCACTGGAGCTTTAGGAGTAGTTCAGATCACCAAGGGAGAGAGTAGAGAGAAGAGAAAAGGTCTGAGAATAGAACCTTGGAGAACACCCACATTTAAGGAGGAGAGAGATAGAGAGGCCCTGCCAGGTAGATGGAAGAACCACAGGAATGCCAAGTCATGGAAACCAAGGGAGAAAGAGGAGAGGGACGAGAAAGTTAAAAAAGAGGAGGGGGAGGTCAAGAGTGCTTTTTGTAGACATGGGGAACCACGGTTGTGGAATACCACATATAATTTAAGGTTTTTTGGATGTTGGCTAATTTTACTGAACTCCCTGTTCTTTTTTTTTTTTATTCTTCATTAAAATGGCTCTGTGAGAGGGGAACACAACCAACAAAGGGACCCTGCCTGTGAGTCACCTATAATCACCCACCTCTCTATTGATACATTAGGAAATTGTAGGTGATACAAAAACCAAACATAGAAAGAAACTTTTTTTTTGAAAGAAGGAGGCCATGTTAAATGATTCAGAGAGTTCGGGGAAGATAAGACAGGGCCAGGTTTGATGGGCAGGGACCCCATTCGATTTACTACCAAGGAAGCCATTAATTACCTTGAACAGCTAACTTTCTTCCATCAGTAAAGATGGAAGCTGCACAACAAGGTATTGAGGAGGGAGGGAGCATGGGAGCAGGAAACCAACTAGGCTACAGCTTCTGGGAATGTGGCAGTGAAGGGAAGGAGGGATATAAAAAAGGAGGCCTGAGGAAGTGGTAGGCTCAAGGGTAAGGTTCAGCAATTGGAGATTTGTGTTTGCTTGTGTGTTTATGTGTTTTTGTTTTGTATTTGATTTTAGAATAAGGAAGATCTGAGAATGCTTATAGACTGAGGGGAAGGAGCCAGAGCGAAAGATACTGAAGCAAGAGAAAAAGAGAAAGGATGATTGATGGAGCACAGACCTGGAACAGACAGGAGAAAATGGAATCCAAGGTATGGGGGAAGGGATTTAGCTTTTTCTATTTTTTTATTTTCTTTCTTTCAAGAAAGAAAGCCACCTTATCCTCTGAGATGAGGAAAACAAAAGAGGATGGGTGAGGGCATTGAGAGATTCGGAGGAGGGAAAGATGGGAATTGAGGGAGTCCATGTAGGATGGTCTCAATTTTCTCATTAAAGTGGCTAACAAAGGCACTGCTTAGAGTGAGGAGAAGGGAGTAAAACTGGCATCTGAGATGAGAAGTTTGGAATCGCTGCTGTGGAGAATATGACGGGGATTTTATAAACGATGAATAAAAGGATTGCCATGCAGGGGTGAGGGCCTAACTGAGAGAAGAGACTCAAATTCCTAATGGCTCTGTCAGCATGATTTAGTGACTTCCTCCAGCAATACTTAGCTGGAGCCATGTGGGACTGAAGGTTAGCAGTATATAGAAATTGCAGAATAGGAAGGAGACAAATTACTCAAGGAAAGGGGGCAGGAGAATTATTGAAGTGGCTGTCCTTAGTGTCAAGGCTGGGGGGCGGGGGGGGGGGTGCTGAAGCCAGAACAGTATCAATGGCAAGAACAGAGAGGAACAGGGGGATTATGAGAGTGAAGAATATGTATGGGAGAAGTAAAGGCTAGAGGGAGAGGGGAAGGACAAAAAAGAACGGTCAATGAGAGAACTTCAGAGTTCAGCATCCCTTCAATGACAAGGGGAACAAGAAGGAAAGGGTGGCTGGTTCAATACAAGCCACTCACCAGTCTTGGTGGGACAACTCAACCTGCAGGTCCATGTGGACAGTTCATCCCCTTAGAGGGGAAATAAGGCTCTGTGCTTTGTTGGGATCATGTCCCTCTTTTCCTACTAAGAATCCATTAGTGGGGCAGCTAGGTGGTGCAGTGGATACAGCACTGGTCCTGGAGTCAGGAGGACTTGAGTTCAAATGCGGCCTGAGACACGTAACACTCACTAGCTGTGTGACCCCAGTCAAGTCACTTAACCCTGACTTCCTCACCAAAACAAAACAAGAATCCATTAGACTTCATTCACAAAGACAGTGAACTGAATATAAACTTGGGTAAACTAAATCCCATCTTCCCCTCACCAAAATGGCAAGAGAATTTTATCATAAGAAGGAGACTCAGAGGGAATATACTCTAACCTGTTCCAAAGCACAAATTCCCCTCTACATTAGCCCGATGAATGGTCATCCAGTATCTACTTGAACACCTCCACTAATGGGAACCTCACTCATTACTTAGTTTTCCTCTTCTTAAATTTGTAGCTTAGATGGTGCAGTGGATAAAGCTCCTGCCTTAGAGTCAGGAGGACCTGAGTTCAAATTTTGCCTCAGACAATTAACATTTACTAGGTGCATGACCTTGGGCAAGTCACTTAACCCCGATTGCCTCAACAAAAAAAAGAGACTGAATATGTGCTTATCTTGGAACCAGATAGTCCTCTACTCCTGAAGACTTAGCAAAATGCAACCTATGGCTCAGAGCTCCCCAAAGCCCTGTGAGGACTCACAGGATCCAAGAATGATCTGGAGGGCTTACTCCACCTAGAGTTTACTCTGGGAAACCTCCAAATATAGCTTAGGTATAGCTTGTGTCTAGTTTCCCCAAACGTGGCTGAGAGTGCCCAAGGATGTGCATCCATACCAGGTAGGAAAACCTTTATTTCACTCCACCAAAAAACCAACCAGCCAAAGGACTCACAGGAACCTATGGACAGACCCACAAAACCCTCATAGCAGAGTACCCTTATTGATAGTAGGGTACCCTTATTGATCGATATTGATTGTATCTTTTCTTTCAAATAACTTTTATTTATGCCTCTAAAAACACCAGGCTTGATCTCCTCTATTTATTCTTGGTTCAATCTGGCTGCTTTCCCCATCTTTGCTCTCTTTAGTGCCACTTCTATGTCTTCCACTCAGGGCCTGCGATGTTAGGACTCAAGAACGTGGTTCCACTAAACTCAATGGAGGAAACAGTTTATTGACATGATTTTTAGCAAATTGTTTTCGTTTTTCCTCTGTTTGTAGTCCTCTTTCTATTCTCAAATGTCCTTGGAATGACTTTGCTTAGTTGGATATCTTGCCAAAATTTCTTTAAACTGGATTTACCCTCCAGCACTTTGGGTGGACCTCCTGGGGCTAACTTTTGAGACAAAGCTGAACAAAAGTGGCATAGGATGGGTAGGCATGAGTGGGTTGCAACTGGCATCGATAGAGGGGACTCCTGAACTGAGATCACAGATACATTTGAGTATTCAAACATTTGCCAATGTGTCACTCTTTCCCTCCCCTAATAATAAAGTCAAATATGACCAAAACCCAACCAACAAAGGACTACAGAGTGAAAGAATGGATGCTTCCTTCTCTTCTATGAGACTGAGATTGATTTCAGTTTCTCTGAGTTTTTGGTCCCATTTTAGTTATTTTTATTGATGTCAAGGTGGCCAGTGTGTATCTTTTCTAGTTCTACTCTGTTTGCTTAGCATCAGTTCATGTGAGTCCATACTCAAACACTTGAATGGACTTGTGATCTCATTGGCCTGGGTAGTCGCACAATGCAGATCACTAATTACCTATGGCTGCCTATGCCCTTGACTTCTGTCTAGACCCTCCCAAAAGTTCACCAATGGGGCTGTCCACTGTGCTAGAAGTCTTCCTGGCTTTCTCCTGACACTGTGAGAATACCAGTGGAAGACTGGTGCCATTCACTTTCATCCCTCAGCCTAACCACATACATTCCCCTGATAATATCCTTCACCCCTATTTTCTTTGAAGTTCTTTGTTATAGATTTAAGCCTGCTCACACCCATTATGTACCTCTCCATTGTCCTCTTCAAGATATTAATTTTCAGGCGTGTGTGTGTGTGTGTGTGTGTGTGTGTGTGTGTGTGTGTGTGACACTCTGATATTCCCTGATGAAGGAAGCTGAGAATTGTGGATTGTTCGAGCTTGGGAGTTTTGAGCTGCAGCAGCATGAAGGCCAATTGGATGTCCACATGAAATCTGGCACCAATATAGAGTGAGCACCCAGGAGAAAGTGGCCACTAGGCTGGTAAGCTGCCAATCTGCCTAAGGAGGGGCGAACCAGAAATAGTGTGAGTGAAAGCTTCCCTGCCCATCAGAAGTGGGACTGGGCCTGTGAGGGACAGCTGCACTTTCAGTCTGGGTGAGACAGGGAGACGGTATCAAAACAAACAAACTCATTTTCAATTATAAGGAGACAGTTTTTTTATGTCTCACAGTTATATAATCATCACACATGTAATCAAAACCAGGACCACTGACTCCAAGTCCTGTGTTCTTTCCATGAAACCATGCTCTATTTTAGTGTGGCCCTGGGCAAGTCATTTAACATCAGTAGGCCTCAGCCTCCTCTGTAGAATTAGGGTGTTGTACAAGATGATGCCCGAGGTGCATTTTGGGTGTAGATCCTATGAACTCTGCCCAGCTTTTGAACCAGAAGGTTGGGAAGATCCATTCTCCTTAGCCATCTCGGATTCACCACAACTGAAGCTGTGAAAGAAATTTATTGGAATAATGAATTCCATGTATGTCCTACCTACTGTGTAAAGAAATCCACAGAATGGTGGCTGGAAAGGATCTCAGAGGGCACCTCCATTCTGCACCTAAACAACAATGCTCTCCACAGCAAGGCCTCTGAGAGGGTCACTCAAGTTCAGGGCGTGGTGCCAAGGTGTCTTGGCTCCATCCATGTCATCAGCATTTGCCATTTCAGCCATATCTGGCTGGTCAGGCAGAGAGAGCTCTTAATTGGTCGTGGGGTTGGGGGTGGGGTGGGAGAGGAAGGTGGTACCCCCTCCTCCCCTTCAGGGATCATCAGATAGGGAAGTGTTGAGCCCATGGGTGGCGCCTGTGCTGGGAGGGGTGGGATGTGGAGAGGCGTGTGTGAAGGAGTGGGAATGGGGCGAGGATCCGGAGCAGCCCTTCATTTTCTCCTGCACCCCAGTCCAGTCTCCTTACCTGACGTTTCCCATCCAACCAAGGTAGTGATGAGAAGGCATCGGTGTAGAGGAAAGAATATTGAAATAAGAGACAGGGAGCCTGTTTCTAATTCTGACTCTCCACTAACTTGCCGAGTGACCTTGGGCAAGTGTTTCCCAGGTCTATGCCACGGGTTTTTTTTGTTTTTTTTTTTTAACTCAAAAGGACTCCGTAGAGATGATCTCTTAGGTACCTTTCGGCTCTATGAGTCTATGAATCAGTGTGGACCCAACCTCCCTGCGGAGGCGCCCCTAACCCAGAGTCCCTTCCTCCACATTCCCCACCCACCCGGGGCACGCAGCCCCGGGGTAGGGCTGGCTGACCAGTCTAGGACCGCTTTTCTCCGCCCCCTGGGCCTGAGGCCAAAGCTGAGAGCCAAGTGGGCGCGCCGCCGGGGGAGGGGAGCACCGGAGGGATCCGGTGTCTTGGGCTGCAAGCTGGTATAGCAGCTGGCGGTGAGGCGAGGCACTGACCGGGATATTAATAACCCGGGGTTGCAGCTCTCCATGAGACCCTTCCAGCTATGGCCAGCGCGGAGGAGCCCCGGGAGGGCGGCCCCTGCGGGGAAGGAGCCGGAGCCGCTGGGTTGGAGAGGTAGGACTGGCCCGTGGAGGGGTCTGCCGCGCCCGCCCAGCCCCTCCCGGCTTTGGGGAGAGGTCGGCGGGATTGAGCCTGAGGCTAGGGAAGGGACTTTCCGCAACCTGCTAGCTTCTCCCGAACTTCTTCCCGTTCCTTCTCCCTTTGTCCACATGCCCCCCGCCCCACGCCACCCCAAGATCCTCACCCGATCTGTTAAGTGTCAGGCCCCGCCCAGAACGTGGGGACGGGCAGAGCTGGACTGCATGGCTCCCCAGCGCTTTGCTTCGGGGTGGGGACCGAGAAATCCAGAAAACTCAAGTGAGGGCAGGGGCGCCCAGCCCAACCTAGCCCGGACATCTCTGTGTGAGTGTGTGTATTTGGGAAATTTATTTCTCTTGTGCTATTTTGGGGGGACCTTTCCCCAAAAAGGGAGTCAATCCTTTCTAATAGGTATGAATCATCAAATACAGTGAATGCAGGAATGCCAAATACTCGGTCTCATATTGTCTTCAAAGGTCTTCCCCATTCTCCCCACCCCCTACTCTTCTAACAAAAAGAGTAGTGACCCCAGAGCCCTGAGTTATTGAATTCCGCTATTCTCCTGCACCTAGCCTCTTGGTCCTTGGCCAATGTCAAAAGAGTGGGTGTGGGGGAATCACACAGATTGTTTATTCTTCACACAGCTTGTTGCTTTTGGGGGCCCAAGGATCTTTGCCTTTGGGGTGGGAAAGCGTGGGGGAGAGAGCCTGGTCCCTACCTGTGGAAAGGGAGCTTCAGAGAGTCGGTTTTAACTGCTCACTTCCCCTCACTCTTGTCGGCCAGCCAAAGCCCCAGGAGGGAATGGCCCTGAGAGGTGAGGATTGAGTGGATTGGGTGGCCTGACTTTCCCATGGACTGAAAGATGAAGTTGCCAACCCAGAGACACACATACATACCTGCATACAACCTCCCCACATGCCCTTCACCGACACACACACACACACACACACACACACACACACACAACACAGAGAGTCATAGACTGAAGGTAGAAAATCCCCTAAGGACTAGGCAGGGAAGAGGGAGGCTCCCTGAGGCCCAAATGAATCCTGTGGTCATAGCCCTTAGAGTTCCAGCTAAGCTCTTCTCTTGTCCCAGAAGCCTCCCATAATCCTGCCCCTCCTCCGATGTTGGACCTGCTTCTTTAGGGAGAGGAGCAGCTGTGTAAAAAGCTTTTCTGGATCCTCATTTGTACAAGAAGCCAAGTCCTTAAAGGATTCATCCATCCTTCAGACACCCCTGCCAAGTGACAGGAGATTGAATTGAAGAGTTGGAAGCTAATAGAGTCACCTCTCAATCATCTACACCAATGACAAGGGCACATGTAAATTCTAAACAGCAGATAATCCACCAGACTTTCATGAGGTAGATGGAATGAATCAGTAAGTTTTAGTAGATAGCTAGCTTATAAGCCAGGAAACCCAGCTCTCACACATTTTGGCTGTGTGACCCTGGGTAAGTCCCTTAACCTCTCAGTGCTCTAGCCTAGACAACTATCTAAGATTAAAACGTAGTGAAGATGCTGTTCCTTCTTTCTGCCAACGACATTAGAGGGCCTCTCTTTACCTTTCCAATTTCTTGTTGAGTCATTTCAGTTGTGTCTGACTCTTCATGACCCTATTTGGTGTTTTCTTAGCAAAGATATTGGAGTGGTTTCCCATTTCCTTCTCTGGCTCATTTTACAGATGAGGAAACTGAGGCAAACAGGGTTGAGTGACTTTCCCAGGGTCACACAGCTAATAAGTGTCTAAGGCTAGATTTGAACTCAGGAAAATGAGTCTTCCTGACTCCAGCTCCAGCGCTCTGTCCACTGTGCCACCAATTTCCCCCTCAATCCTGCATTTATCAAGTGCCCACTCTGTATAGTACAGTGTCTTGAGGTGGGAAATGAAACATTAAAATCAGTTTTAACGATCTTACAGCAGAGCAGGAAAGTTGGGGGAGAGGGGAAATGAGTGAGTAGAGCCAGCTTGACATAAAGATGCAGCTCAGTCAGCCCACAATATGGATCATTGAGATTCATGTTAGAAGGCACAAATGTTTAAAAGAAGGTTTGTTTACTTCTAAGTCCTGCTCCTTCCTAAACTGCTTTAAGAGTAAACAAAGCAATTCCAAAATGTGTCCAGACAACTTTTTCTAAAGTTGAAGTGACCAGTTAGGTATACTGGAACAGGGACAGGAGGGAACCAGCCGATGCATGACCAATCAAATCCTTTCTCTTTCCTTGGTGTCTTCACCTGTAAAATGAAGGGGTTGGTCCCTTCCAGTTCTAAGGTGCAGGGAAGCTGCAGGGCTCTCCTGCACAGATCTATCTGAAAAACCTGTTGGGGTCTCACTTTGAGGCTGCCTCAGGGCAAGGGGTGCATGGTAGTGCCACAATGGTAAGAAACAAGCAGGGCCTTTACGGGGAATTTGGATGGTAGATGGTGAGCACTCACATCCTAGGCACACATCTTAAGCTTGAATTCATCTTTCCAAGACAGAGCTGTGTTATGGCATAGTGGAAAGGGCAGTGACTTTGGATTTAGAAGATTTGAACCTAAATCTCAGTTATTCCACTTACTGTGTGACCTCAAGCAAATCATTCCCTTCCCTAAGCTCCCTCCCTAATCTAGAAAATTAGGGCATTGGTAAGTTCCAATGGGCTCATAACATTCTATGAAATGCTCTGTTGGGGAAGCAGTTCATTTAGATCTTATAGAATTGCAGAGGTTCCAAAGTGGGCAATACTGCCTCCTGAAGTGCTGGAATGATCCAGGGGAAGCAGCAGTAGCCTCGGGTACAATTTGAGGGGCACTGAATAAAAATAAGTGGGCAGTGGAAACAAGGAAAGAAGAGAAGAAAATTTTGAAAAACCATTTGTACACGTTTCATCTGTTGTATAACAGAGTTAAAGTCATAGTGATTACATCATTTTCCAAATAAACACAAAAAGTGCAAGGTGTAACTAACTGATCAGTGGTCAAATCCACTGACAGACTTAACAAACAAGTGTTGGCAGGTGAGCGTGTCACATTGTTGGGAAGTCCAGCATGCATCGGGTAGGAATACGAGCACGTAATGACTTGCTTACAATACTATAAGGTTCTATGATGCAATATTGTGTCATCAAAATTTGAGTGCAGGAAAAAACCCACAAATTAAAAAAAAATTATTAAATTTAAGATGTATCACTAAAAAAATTTATATTCTTTTGAAATGATGTAAATTTAAAAAAAAATTAAAGGTTAAGAAAGTAGATTTTCGAGGGGGGGGAACTGAGTAATTTTTTTTTTTAAGGAGGTGGTAGGTCAAATAAGTTTGGGTACCTCTGTTATAGAGTCTTTAGAGGTGACTCTTGTCACCTCTCTCTGGTCAGTGTACCCGGACTACACTGGGTATCACAGTTTCCCTGGTGCTTGTTGTACTTTCAGGAAATCACTTTAGGAAGTGAGAGGGGAGGGGGGAAGAGAGGGAGCGAGAGAGAGAGAGAGAGAGAGAGAGAGAGAGAGAGAGAGAGAGAGAGAGAGAGAGTGTGTGTGTGTGTGTGTGTGTGTGTGTGTGTGTGTGTGGTGTGTAAAAGCCACTAGAGGACCAGGGCTGAGTGACATGACCAAAGTCTCAGAAATCACTCTCGTACACAAAGTCCCATCCTCACTATGGCTTTCCACAGACCTCAGAATTTTCTTTTGCAGGGATTTAGGGGCAGAGGACAATGCTTCACTCCAAGAGAAGAAATCTGAATTCTTGCAAGGGGAAGAGGCCCGGAACCCAGAGATGACTCTGTCCCTTCAGGGGGATATCGACCTAGAGGACATTCTCTACCTTGGAGGCACAGATGACGCTGATGATGTACTCTATGTAGAAGAGACACTGAACTCGGACAAGGAAGCTGACCCAGAGGAGCCGCTATATGTAAGAGAGACGGTCACCCCAGAGGAGACACTGCCTGTGAAGGAGATATTCAACCCAGAGACGCTGAACCAAGAGAAGACAATTACTCCAGAGGAGACACTGCATGTGACAGAGAGAGCTGACCTAGAGGAGATACCAAATCCAGAGGAGACAAATGCACAGGGGGAGAAAGGCAGCTCTGAGGAGAACCCTGCCTCCACGGAGAGTCTCAGGGTCGAGGACAGCCTGAGTCCAGAGGAGCTGGAGCTGCTGGAATGCCGTTTCCAGCAATGCATTGAAGCGGTAGCACAGCTGGAGGAGGAGCGGGACCGCCTCATCCACGAACTAGTGCTGCTACGAGAGCCAGTTCTGCAGGAGGTACAGAAGGTCCACCAGGACATCCTGGTTGCCTACAAGCTACATGCCCAGGGGGAGCTGGAGTGTGATGGCCTAAGGGAGGAGATCCGGGTGGTGAAGCAAAAGCTGTTCAAAGTGACAAAAGAATGTGTAGCCTACCAGTACCAGCTGGAGTGCCGGCAGCAGGAAGTTGCCCAGTTTGCTGCCTGCCAGGAAGAGCTCACCACTCGTGTTGCCCGACTATCTGAGGAGCTGGCCCAACTCAAAGACACATGTGAGAAACAGAAAGGGCATTTTCAGCAGCAGCTAGAAGCCCCTCGGGGTCAGGGGGATAGCCATTTTCTACAGGAGAGCCGGAGGCTCTCTGCTGAGTTTGAGAGCTTCATGGCAGAAAGCCGCCAGGGCCTAGAAGAAGAGTATGAACCCCAACTGATGAGACTCCTCGAGAGGAAGGATGCTGGGACAAAGGCATTACAGAAAACACAGGCAGAAATTCAAGCGATGAAGGAGGCCTTGAGACCGCTACAAGCAGAGGCCAGACAACTCAGTTTGCAAAACAGGAACCTGGAAGACCAGATCTTGCTTCTGAGACAGAAACGGGATGAGGAGGTGAAACAGTACAGGGTAGGCCCACCAAGAATGAAGGAAACAAGGGTTAACTTGGAGAATGTAAATCTGAAGGGGATTCATGTACTTTTAAGATCATGGAGGAGGAACCATCTATTTTCCACATATGTGGAAAACAGCTAGGGTTATTAAAACAGCAGGAGGGAGTGAGGTTAGATATCAGGGGGGAAAATATATATATATATATATATATATATATATATATATATATATATAAATATCCCTGTTGGGATTGTTAAATACTATATTGAATCACTGGCAGAAGTTTTGGAATTTCCTGACCTGGAGATCCTGATGTGATTAGAAAACTAACAAAAATGGTGCAGATGAAATTGGGTCTTGAGGCAGCAGGAAATGTGGAATCCAAGTAGCAGGGTTAGATAACATCTGGAGGTCCCTTCTAGTCTTGTGTCTGTAAAGCACCTTCTGCCATGTTGTGCTAATTTAGTCAATCAACAAGCATTTATTAAGTGCTTATTACATGCAAGGAACCATGCTAAGTCTTGGAGATATTAAAAAAAAAACCAACCAGTTCCTGCCCTCAAGAAGCTTACATCCCCCCCCCCTTTTTTTGGCAATTGGGGTTAAGTGACTTGCCCAGGGTCACACAGCTAGTGTCAAGTATTTGGTCTGAGGCCGGATTTGAACTCGGGTCCTCCTGACTTCAAGGCTGGTGCTGTATCCACTACGCCACCTAGCTGCCCCAAGAAGCTTACCTTTTAATGGGGGGAAACAACACGCATAAAAGTTGGTACATACAAGACACATGCACAATAGATAGAAGGTAAAGGAGAAGCTTCACTGGTGGACCAAGAAAGGCCTTCTGCAGAAGGTGGCAATTGAGTTGAGTCTAGAAGGAAGCCTAGAATTCTAAGGAGAGGAGGGAGAGCATTACAAGGATGGAAAATAGCCAGTGAAAAGGCATGGCAATAGGAAATAAAGTAAGTACTTTTTGCAAAGATCAGCAAGTGGGCCAGTATGGCTGAATGATAGAATGCCTGGAGAGAAGTAAAGGATAAGAAGACTGGAAAGCTAAGAAGGGGCCAAGTTGTGAAGAGCTTTAAATGCCAAACAAAGGTCATTATATTTGATCCTGGAAGTTTAACAAGGAACCACCAGAGTATATAGAGTTGAGGTGGGATGGGAGTAGTACAGATATGATGTGGTCAGAGTCCCGGACTGACTAAATGTCAGACCCACACTTTAGGAAAATCATTTTGGCAGCTGAATGGAAGACAGATCAGAGTGTAGGTTATTGTAATAGTCCAAGGGAGAGATAATGAAGGCCTGAACTAGGGTGGTGACTGTGTGAATGACGTGAAAGGAATGTACAAGAAATGCTGTAAAGGTAGAAACCATATGATTTTTTTTTTTAGGCAATTGGGGTTAAGTGACTTTACTGGGGTCACACAGCTAGTAAGTGTCAAGTGTTTGGTGTGAGACTGGATTTGAACTCAAGTCCTCCTGACTTCAGGGCAGGTGCTCTATCCACTGCACCACCTAGCTGCCCCTTGAAACCATAGGATTTTGTCATTGATTAGATATGTGGCATGAAAGTGAGGAGTTGAGGATGATACCAAGGTTGTGAATCTAGATGACTAGAAAAATGGTGGTGCCCTCATCAGTAATAGGGAAGTTCAGAAAAGGGATGGGGTTTTTTTTGTTTGTTTTTAGGGGGGTGTGTGTGTGTGTATGTGTGTTTTTGGGGGAGGATAATAAGTTCTGCTATAAACATATTTAGTTTGAGGTACTGATGGGATATCCAGGTCAAAATGCCCAATAAGCAGCTGGTGATATGGGACTGAAACTCAAGATGCGAGACTGGGGTTGGATATATAGATACAGGAATCATTAGCCCTGAGATGATAACTGAACACATGGGAGCTGATGAGATCACCAAGTGAGATAGTATAGAGCAGTCATTCTTATCATTTTTGGTGCCATGGACTCTTCTGGTAGTCTTGTGAGGCCTATGGTCCTTGTCTCAGAGTGTCTTTAAATAACTGAGAGATAGATTCCATTTCAGTTAGAGGTTAGTGAAAATAAGGATGTAATTTTTTCCCATCCAAGTTCACATACCCTCTGAAATCTATCCAAGAACATCTTGAGGGTTTGTGGACTCCAGATTAAGAACCCCTGCTATAGAGAAAAAAGGCAGAGCTTTGGGGAATACCCATAGTTAGTGGGCATGACATGGATGAAAGTCCATTGAAGGAGACTGAGGAAAAAATGGTCAGACAGGTAGAAGGAGAAATAAGACACAGTGGTATCAGGAAAAACCCAGAACAGAGTACCCAGGAGGAGAAAATGATCAACAGTAGAAAGATCAAGAATGCTGACTACAAAAAGTCCATTAGATTTGGCAATTAAGAGATCATTGGCTATGAAGAAGCACTTTCAGTTGAATGAGATCATTCAGGTGGCAGAGTATTTAAAAAACAGTGCAATGAGAGGAAGTAGAAGCACAGAGTGTAGACAGCATTTTTAAGGCATTTAGCTGAGAAAGGAAGGTGGGATAAAGGAAGGTAGCTAGCAGGGATAGTGGCATCAAGTGAATTGTTTTTTTTTAAGAAGCGGGGAGACATGGGTGTGTTTGTGGGCAATAGGGAAGGAATCAGATATGAGAGTGACAATTAGAGACAGTGGGGATAATAGTGAGAGAATGGAACAAGAATGCATGTAGAAAGTCTGTCTTGGAAGGGGAAGGGCCACCTCAACATCAGACACTGGAATTAAAGAGGAGATGATGGGCAATGATATCAGAAAGAATGTGAAATGAGAAAAAGAGAACTTGGCAAATGGCTTTCATTTTTTTTCAGTGAAGTATGAGGCAAGATTCTTGTATGAGGAGTTGGGGAGATAGGAGGCCACGGGAGGATTAAGAAGTGAAGAGATTTGGAGCAGTCACTATAGTGAGTGGGACAGAGAATCAATTAGGGAGAAATGGAAGGATTGCCTTGTTGCAATGGACCCAGCTGATGTTAGATAACATAAATTTATAATGGTCTTTTTCTCCTGAATACCAGCAATATATGATTAAAAGAGGCAGAGGGTGGGAGTAATCCAGGTTTGGCAAGGCACGATCAGTAACAGGATAAAGGGGCTAGAAATTTGAGAGTAGCAGAAAATAAACAGTATTTCATAATGCTTTAAGGTTTGCAAAGCACTTTACAATATTTTCATTTTATCCTCGCAACCCTGGAAGGTTGGTGCTGTTATTATTCCCATTTTACAGATGAGAAAATTGAGGCAGAGAGAAGTGAAGTGATTTTCCCAGGGTCACATAGCTAGTTAATGTCTGAGGCTGAATCTGAACGGAGATCTAGACCCCAGGTCCAGCACTTTATCCATTACTGCTAATACTAGCTGCCTCTAGGAAGGTGGAGAGTTGAATTGGTTCACCGACTGGTTCAGACTGGCAAAGGAGGAAAGTGTAGCCAGGCTAGAGGTGATAGCCTGGGAAAGTATTAAGGGGTAGGAGGTTTGGAGGTCACAATGAAGACCAAAAACAGGGGTAGGGATCACATTGCAGAGGGAAGCTGGAATGGTAAAATGTTAAAATTTCATGACAAAAGTTCATAAACTTGAAAGTGAATATTAGTGAGCGATAGCAGGTTCAAGGGTATGACCATCCACATGTGTAGCTGAAAGTGGAGTGGAAGAACAGGCCATAGAAACTGAGTAGAATGAGGACCTGGGAAGTTAGGGTATTTAAGTAAACATCAGTGTATATATAAGGAAGTCCCCTGGACTTCCATATATATATAAGGAGCTGGGCTAGAGGGCAAGTCTAAGAGAGACACTAAACTCAGTGAGGAAGGAGGGACTGTGGCCTGGGATTTGGTAACTGCCAGTGGGCTCTGGATTGGCTGATATATTTGGATAGTGTGAACCTCAAAAGAGGAGAAATGATTAGTGAAGATGGTAGGTAGAGAGTCTGAAAGTGGTATTGGGGAACCAAGAGTATTCCAGTTCTCTTACCATGAGCAGTGAGTTGTGGAGTATTAAAAACGTAGCCAGTGACTGGAAAGGGTGGCCAGGTCTTAATGAATGCCAGAAGATGGAAAGAGGGAGGGAAAAGTTTCAAATGGAAACTAAGTTTTATTATGAAGCAGGTGTTCCATAGTGGAAGGGGCAAGCAGATCTGGATTGGGATACTGAGGTGGACAGGACCAAGGAAGCAGCTAGCTGGAGTTGGGAGTCTATTTTTCGACAGCTATGAGTTCAGAATCATCACAGAATGGGAAGAATATAAGGGGGCAGGAATATGTTAACCAATGAAGAATTACACCAGGCATTGTATTAGTGGGAGAGGATCGTTAGGGTAATTAATTCTAAGATTGAGAACTTCTAGCCAAGCGATCTCAGGTCTCATTTCCAGTTCCTGGAAGGCTATTCAGAGCCAGCACCTTTTCCTGCCCCTGCTGGAGGGAGAGCTGCATTACAGGAAATGCTAAAAAAGTGATATAGGTGTTTGATACCCCTTGTCCGGCACAAGGCTGACAACCTTGCAGAGAACTGTAGTGCTGACAAAACTTCCTAGGTGATTTCTGCTAAATCTCTCTTCCTGGCATCTGATATTTCAAGGCTGCTCCTCCTCCCCATTGTAAACTCCATCTGCCTCTCCTACCAGCTCCCCTATTTTATATAGAAGCTATCACCATCTTCCCAGTCGTGAAACCTTTGTCATCCTAGATTCCTCCTTCTCTTTTACCATTCCTCCCTTTTCCAGTCAGTTGCCAACCCTTTTGGTTTCTACCTCCTCATTTTCTTCTCTCTCTCCCATCCTCTCCACTCCCACAGCCACCTTTATTACTTAAAACAAAATGTGGCTTTTTTTTCAATTCTGAATTCTCCTCCTCCCCCGTCCCTCTCCCACTCATTGAGAGGGTAAGAAATATTATACTCATTATACATATAAAGTCATGCAAAGCATATTCCTACATTAGCCATGTTGCAAAAGGAGGAAAAAAGGCAAGAAAAATAAAGTGAAAGAAAAACGTGCTTCAATTTGCACTCAGAGTTCATCAGTTCTCTCTCTGGAGGTGGATAGCAGTTTTCATCATGAGTCCTTAGGAACTGTTGTGGATTGATCAGAGTAGCTACATCATTCACAGCCAATTTTTGTTACAATACTGAGTTACTGTGTAGACTGTTCTTCTGGTGCTGCTCACTTCACTTTGCATCAGGTCATTTCTTATCCCATTGCAATCATATACCACAACTTGTTCAGCCATCTGCCAACTGATGGGCATCCTCTCAGGTTCTAACTCTCCTTATTACCTTGCTTGTTGTATTGCAGTAGCCTCCAGATTGGTTTGGGCTCTAATCGTGACAGCATCTGTAACATAGCTGCCAAAGTAATCTTCCTACAAGTATGATTATAGCATCACCTTGTTCAAAAAACCTTCTGACTCCCAGTTATTAATTACAGGATAAAATTTAAACACCACATGCTTACATTCAAGGTCCTCCACCACTTGGTCCCAGTCTTATCTCACTACCGTTTATGCACTCTATGCTCGTGGCAAAGTGTGCTACTTGGCTGGTCCCGTCTCATCTTGCCCTTTCCTACCTCTGCCCATTCATATATGATTTCTATACTGTGGCGTCTCCTCCCCGCCCCAATCCCCAAGCCTGAGATGGTTTCCTCAGTCCCAACCTATCAAAACTCTTCAAGGTCCAGCTTATGTGTGCCTTGACTCACTCTTCATCAATAAGCTTTTACTGAATAGTCTCATCTATGTTTGGTGCCCTAATGTCTATATTAGACTTTGGGGATTACAAAGAAGGTGTGCCACCTCTTCCATGCCCCCTTCCTCAGTCTTCCCAGTTAAAAGTGATCCTTCTCTCCATGAATCACTGGCCACTGTTTGGCTTTCCTATGTATTTAATTATGTCTTAATTTGTACAATATTGTTATTTGTGTACGTCTTCAAATCCTTCCTGGTAAAGTCTTTGAAGGTTGTACTTTATCATTATCTCCCAGGTGTTGCACAGAGTAGGCACTTAGTACTTGTTGATTTGAATCATTCCATCAATAAGCATTTACTAATTAGTCTAGTCTATGTTTATGGCCCAGTGCTAGACCCTGAGGACAGAAAGAAGTGTAAAAACAGCCTCTAAAGGGCTTGAGTTTGGTGAGACAGAATACCTCCAAGGTGCCAAGTGAGTGGTTCATAAAAAGGGTTTCAGAGACTGAAATAACATGGCAGGCCTAGGCAGTTGCTTTAACTAGTCATTGCAGGACATGAATCAGACAAGGTTTGTGGGGGTAGTAAATATAAGCAACAGGATGAATACGCATGGCACATTCCAGAACAATGAATCAGTCTGGTTGGCTCAGAATAATTTGTGTAAAGACGCACTGGAAAATAAAAGTCAGAGAGACAGGTAGGGGCTCAAACAGTGGAGAACCTTCAATGGCAGACTAGTTTGGACTTTATGTTTTGGGCGATGGTAAGCCACAGAAGGCTTTTAAAAGAGGCAATGCTTTAATATGATAAATCTGGCATCAGTGTGCAGGATAAATAGGAAGTGGCCTTCATACTACTGGCTCAACTCTTCCTCACAATAAAAACTCTCTGTACTCCGAGGGCTCAGCCCTTTTGTCAATGATACAAGTTTCCTTCATCTGCACAATTGCTTTTGAAAGATATTCAAGTAGGTACACTAAGGCCTAGGAAGAATCAGTAGTCCATAGACTATTTAGACTAAATGCTCCCTGATACGTTAGGTCATTGTGCATGGATAATGTCAAGAGTAACCAGATATTGAATTACAGCTTCTGGGATCCAGGCAAAATTCTTCTTCCACTCAAATACATTTTTTTTAAAAAATAGCCTACTGTATGTCCTCTGCTGGCAAAGACAGAAAAATGAGACTTGGTTACTGTCCTTAAAGGGCTTATGTAGTAATGAGATTTTGCTCTTCATCTATATGGTAGGTACTTAATAAAATAGGTAGATTAATAATACAAATATTAATGAAATATGACATGTAGTAAGTACATAAGCGGGGTGTGAAGTGTTGACATCAGAAGCTATATCTTCCAGCTGGTGAGAACAGAGAATGTTTCTTGGAGAGGGGAAGGAACATTTTTGCTAGGCAAGACATCAATAGGCAGAGAGGCAGGTATTTCAGGTGTAGGACACAGCATGAGCAAATGCTCAGACGTGGGAAAGTATGGGGTGAAGAGAGAAGAAAAATGCTTTACTGCTATGGACTCATTGCTGTATCACAGGTGCAACATCAAGGATGACTCAGACAGTAAGTATTTTTGGCCCTTCTAAGAGTGAGATGTACCAAAGCTAGATACCTGTTCCATTAGTCAGAGTATGTAAGAACAGGAAAAAGCCCAAGATAAATCTAGTCCAACCCCTTCACTTTTCAGAGGAAACTAAAGCCCAGAAAATGGAAGCAACTAGGCTTCAGAGTCTGAGGAATGTGAAGTCACTGCCCTTTCAAAATACACCTTCTAATCCCGACTCTCTAGCCTGTGTCTGTGATCTGGACCGACAGCTAGACTGGCGAATGGCTGACAAACACCTTAATCACTTGGCAATGTATCCAGACTAAACTGACTTACTCAGTTGCCACAGAGATCTGGCCAAGGTCTTAGTGTTATTTTAGAGTCCCTCTTATTACCATCAACTTACTTAATTCTTGGACAAATTCCCCTATATCTCTGGCTCAGTAGAATATGGATACTTGCAGATGAGATTCAGTTTCAGATACTTGTAATCATCATCACTACCATAACCAAGTATTTGTTAAGCACCTGATGGTTGATAATCCTATAGTGGATAGTAGACAAGAGACTTTATCTCTGTCCTTTGTGGGCCTGAATTTTAAGACAGAGGTGAAGCCAACCCATAAGACCACCCAGATATCAGAATGTACAAAAATCACAGAATCTTAGAATTGGTAAAGATCAATAGGGTCATCCAGTTCACTATCATACCCATATGGCTTACCACCAAGCAACAAAAACTCTCTTGCTGACTAGCCTTTAACCAGCTGCCACGTGAGACTTGGGCACTAGCTTTGACTTTGTCACTAGCTAGCCATGTAACTCAGGCAGGTGCCTGCCCCGTTCTGGGCCTGCTTCTTCATCTACAAAATGAGGGAGTTGGAATAGGTAAGTTCTTAAGAATCCCTCTGTCCCTAACATTTTGTGTAGGAAAACTCGAACCAAAAGAAATATACTAGAGAAAAAGTAAAACACAGCGTGCTTTGGACTGCATCCAGACGCCGTCAGTCCTTCCTCTGTAGGTAGGCAGCACTTTTCATGAGGAGTCCTTTGGGGTTGTCTTGGATCGCTGCATTGCTGGGTCACTGGTGATCACGGTACAATATTGCTGTTACTGTGTATAATGATCTGAGTTTTCTCACTTCACTCTGCATCAGTTCATGTAAATCTTTCCAGGATTTTCTGAGATCATCCTGCTTGTCTTTTCTCTCTTTTTGGTGAGGCAATCGGGGTTAAGTGACTTGCCCAAGGTCGCACAGCCAGTGAGTGTCATGTGTCTGAGGCCGGATTTGAACTCAGGGCCTCTTGACTCCAGGGCTGGTGCTGTATCCACTGCGCCACCTAACTGCCCTAGCTTGTCATTTCTTATAGCACAATAGTATTCCATTACAATCATACCACAATTTGTTTAGCCATTCTCCAACTGATGAGCATCCCCTCAATTTCCAATTCTTTGCCATCACAGAAAGAGCTGTTAAAAATATTTTTGTACAAAACCTTTTCCTTTTTTAAAAATCTGGGAATACAGACCTATTAGTGGTATTGCTGGATCAAAGGCCTATGTCTCTAAGATTTCGAATCCCTACCCTCTTCCCAATTCAACAGAATCCTAACTGTACAATTAAAGATCATATTAGATCTAATGATCCTATTATCCCTGCTTTGGAATTAAAAAAAAAACAGCTTCCAAAGATCTGGTCTATTAAGTCTCTCCGCACTAATTGTTTGAAGAGTTTATCACAGACCCTCTAAAACTTAGTTACTACCTCCCTTGCAGATGGAGGTCTGTGGAACACACAGAGAAGCCAAGGGAAGACTGAAATTCATCCCTAGTCATACTCCATAAGGAGTCTAGGAAATTGTGAAAAGCCCTCTCAAACTCTCTGCTACCCTCTCCCAGGTTCATTAGAAATTCTCTTGGCTCTTTCCTACAGGAACAGATGGAAGAAATGGAAGACAGACAGAGGCAACTGAAAAGCCGAGTACAACTGCAGCAGCAGAAGAACAAAGAGATGGAGGAGCTAAGGATCAGCCTCACTGAAGAGCTCTCTATTTATAAGTCAGTTTTTACTGCTACCCAAAATTTGTCTATACACGAAGGCTGAGGAGGTAGAAGAGGGAGGTAGTTCAAGGGGAGGTGTGTGAAGGATTGCTTTTTTTTAGGGGAATGATTTTTAAAATTCCTGTCATCTGCCCTCAGATGAAAAATGGCTTTGTGTTTTTAAAGGGCTATGCTACCCAAGAAGGCAGAGCAGCTCGAGGCCCCCACTTCTCCGGGAAGTGGAATGGAGACAAAGTCTCAAGGTGATCTCTGGTGGGAGAGCAGTGCTTGCATCCTCTGAGTGCTAAACCACTTAACCCTACTAGTCAGCATTGGTTTGCCTCTAGAAGCCTGTGTACTGATAAAAGATGTTTTTCAGATCTTTGCCTCCAAGACACAGGCCTTCTAGACACACAGCTCAAGCCACTCACAACTGTGAGAAATGAGGTCATAGTCCAAGATGCCCCTCTTTCTAACATAACTCATGTTATTTCTCTTTGGTACAAGACCTCTCACAATCGATTTCTTTAGCTCGACAATGAAAGGCTTAAGAAGGAAAAAGTATCCAGGTTTTGTCACTCTAAATAGTTTTCATCAGGCATACTGCTCCAGGGTAAAACAGCATTAATAAACTAATTTTTTTTTCCACATTCACTAATTATAAAACTCACAATGGCAGTGAGACAGAAGTTTTACCATCTAAGATGGCCAAGGAAAGAGTCACATGAATTAGTGACTGTGACAGCCATAAAAATATCACACAAGTTCAATATCATTCACAGGGCAAAGAACATAATATTTAATATCTGAGCCAATCAAGGCAGTCTGACATCAAGCTAAGATTTCCTTTCCCAGTTGGTGGCAACATTCAAAAGACTGAGTTATATACGAGGATTCCGGATTTTGGTTAAAAGTGGGAAAACTGCTCATGCTTTTCATCACAGCTTAGGACTCAGTAAACGAGATACCCTGGTAAGAGGTGTTCTGTAGCTGCCAGAACTGGAGTACCTTGCCAATCAAGCCACACAGAACCACTGCTCAATGTTCCACTTTGCTATATAATAGCTCCAAAGTCCATGATTAGTCATTTTATAGTGACCTAAACATAATTTTAAAATCTGGCTAAGAAATCAGTCATCACTTGCTTTTTAAAAGAAGAAAAAATCTTATCTGGGACTAAAGTTATTTCATTATTTCAATCATTATTCTTGACAATTGTTCAGAGAGGTGGGTCGGTGACAGATTTCATTTCAGACGGAGAAACTGAGACACCGAAATCGCCTAATCAGTTCTGTGACTGGAACAAGTGTCAATACCATCCAATCACTTTCTTGTTAAACTGACATAAAATTTCAAAACTTAACTTTTCTATGCTTTTCCTGACCCAAACTTGTATACAGGTATATATGTTTGTTTTTGGAACAAACCACTTGTGCAGTTCCCATCACTAAAGAAGGTGAACTAGTGAACTAATTTGAACTAGACATTTTATTATATTACACAACTCTATGTGCATTTCAAGAACACAAATAAGAAACTAAGTTAATCCTAAAGGAATTAATTCCTGATGGTAGAACTTCAGATATTCTGGCAGCTGGATAGGGGAGATTAATTTTGTTCAAAGTCTTTTGCTGGACACCAGAGGCCAATTTACAAGTAACAAAGGATGGCTTTTCATGGAAACCTAACACAGCACCTCCTAACTTAAACACACAGAGCACTAACATCTTCACAGATTCTGGGGTAGGTGGGTAGGACAGGTTCAGGCCAATTTCATCAGTGTAGGAACTCTAAGGGTGGAAACCCCTTCTACTAATGTAGGCTGGCAACTTCAGTCTTAAAAAGAATTGCTTCAGCAGTATTTCACTACATTATATTTCAGTTTGTACAGAATATAATCTAAACCTGCTTTTCTTTCAACTTTACAGGAGCTGTTTAGAAATCTATGGCCGACTCTGTAACCCAGAAACAAAAGACAAAAGCTCTTAGTGAAGGGGCACTAAAACCTCATTGGACATTTTTTCTTTGCAACATAAAAGGGAATATGAGGGACCTGGTAAAATGCTCCATCCTGTGAAAGGCGTAAGCACCCTCCCTGCCAGAAGCAGAATACCAGACAACCCTCAGCTTGTAGGGCATAGAGCTTATTGCACTGAAGAATGGAGGCACCGGGAGCCCCCTAGCAGACTCATGTGCACGCTATGAAAAGGACACACCAACAGTGACCAATGTATGCCTTGCAGTGTTCTGAAGCAGAAATTGTTGCCTTACTTTGATTCAAAGCTCGAAGCCTTTGTAAGGCAGAGCAAATGTCAACAAGGCAGCCCATTTTAATTAAGTGGAATTTTAAAGTTTGATTTACCTGTGCCACAAGTGTCTGACTTTAAATAGAAGTTTTTCTTAAAGCTAAGCATTTATAAGGGTGCTGTGGGCTCTAGTAGCTTTGTTTCCTTATTCATATCAATAGTTTCCACTACACAGCACACACGTGTCATCCTGAAAACGAGGGACCAATCGAAGTTTTCAAACCAAAATGTTTAAAGCCATTTGGACTTTCACTGAGTTTTAGCCTCCTGAAGACTATTGTGGTATAAGGCGATATACTTGGCTACTAAAAGAGGTGGCCAAGTACCTGGAATACTATCTGGTATTATTAGGTCTTGAAGAGTAAAACTTTCACAGGCCATTATTACTAACCTGTAAGTATAAGTCCCACTGGGGGAAAAAAAACCCCAACAAGACATTATAGGAAGGGCTAACTTCTCCTTTTCCAAACTTAAAATTTTCTCATGGAATTCTCTCTACAACAGTCTCTAATATTCTTGAAGACCCATGTATTTATTTAGAGAAGGATGAGCAATAAACTTCAAAACAACAAGATGGCAACATTCTATGAGAATAATGCAGGCCCCGCTGATACTTTGTCTGATGTCTCTTCATTTACATCTAGGAAAAACTAAGTGTTTTTCTGACAAACTGAATACTAGCTTTACTGTTGTTCATATCTGTCAGGCTCTAGTACTTGATGAATTCTGGGTATAAAATAAGAATCCACAGCAATTTTTATGTAGAAAAACAATTTATTCCATCATAAGCACTTACAGTTAGTCATGGACAGTAACAGGCTGCTGGTTGGACAAGTTACCCCAAAGGACATCGTATAAAACGAGTGGTCAAGGACTAATTCAGTTGGTGTGGGGTTTGTTGGGGAAAAAACATTTTTTTTAAAGAGAGGAAAAAGGAAGAAAAGATATCCAGAATTTTAAAGCACATGTCAGCTACCAAATTGTTCTGTTTTCAGATTACTGGGTAGTCTACCAATAGTATATCTGTCAGGTAAAAACACACCTTCTTTATAACCTGGTGGTCCCAAGTTAAAAAAAATTCACAGAAAGTAAAGAAATAATACGAAAACATAGCTCAAGAAATATACTAGAGAGCAAAACTATATGAGGTGAACAAAGATATTTTGCAGGTATAGCTACAACATTTCACATGGCTGTTTGTCCCCCACCAGATGAGAAGTGGAAGGAGGGAGTAAACAGTCACTAGGGAAGAAAAAAAATCAACCAAACCATTAAATAAAACAAAAAAAATTTCAATAAGAAATTTTGACTGGTTACAGAGGAAACCTGCAGGGGTAGGCCAGTCTACAACAGGGATGATCTGTACCCTAGAAGGTTAGCCATGCCAATTTTAGTCTTCGAATCTCTATAAACAAAGGAAACAGTTCAGACATCTTACAATGCTAACACCTCAGCGGCTCAGACTCCTCACTTGGATATAAATCCTACCCCATTCTAATTTTACTTAAATTAGCCTGAAAAACTTGCAGTTATAGCATAGGAAGAAAAATAAAACACTCATGGTCCATTTCTTGTGGCTAAATCAGATTTTAGAGCTGGATTTGCTCACAAAAAGTTCTTGGAAAAAAAATTAAATATGGGTCTGTGGCTCTGCTGAGTCAAGCCCCCTCATAGTTAATAGTCAGAAATCATTCACTCTCTGGGTTAACAGGTACCTACACATGAATGTCTGTCTCAAAACCAGTGTTATCAATCTCGATTTGGGAAGAAAGGGGAGTCTAAAAATCAGCACCAGTGCAGACATGTCTAGGACCCCTGTCCCTCTGGATCCACGCTTCCTTCAGGGTCTTCATCATTGTATATGTTCTCAGCCTGCCCCAAACAACAACAAAAGTTAGAGCACTGAAGGAATACAGGATTTTCTCTAAGACAAGCTTCCCACTGAAATGTATCAGGTTATTTTTATAAATATGAGCTTCACCAATTTCTTCCAAATAACCAATACCTTCAAAACCTATTTATTTTTACAGGTAGTATTCTAAATCTCAATTTGTAAACCAGGTAAATCAGGAAGTGCTCATCTGTATCCCAGAAGGACATACTCTGAAAGCCCCCCCTATTTCATGTTATAATCAAACTGAATTAACCTTCAACTTTTAAGGGACACATTGACTAGATAAAGCAAGACACAATTCTTTAATAACCAACCACTTAAAACTAGGGCTATAATCTAGACAATGAAAAGTACTAAAGCTACTCAGGAGTTTTATTTTACTATTAAATGGTATTTCAGTACATTCAATAGGACACTGCAACTTAGTGTGCTTATTATAACAATGTTTTCCAAGGCTCTTCGGCAATACTTTCATTAGTTTTCTCAGAAGCAGAATTATCTGGATTGAGACATTAAAAGTTCTGGCCAAGACTACAAAGTTTGTCAGTGGAAAAGCCTGGAGAATAAACCCCAATCTTCCAGCTTTCTGTCTCTAGCTACCAGACAGATGATGGACAGAAGGTTTTGTGAAAACAAATGTGTACTTCAGGTCACTGACCGTGCCAATCTACCCACTTGCCCTCTCCCCGATCCCTAAGAGAATGACAAACACTCACCATCTGCCAGACTTGCATGATGTTGTCTTCTGATACAGAACAAATAACCCAAGGCTCATTGGGGTTCCAGGAGAAATCTGATATCTTGGCAGTGTGACCACCGTGAATAAACTGAGAGAAGGAGAACAAGACATTAAAAGCCAACAGAACCCAGTTATTGGTTAGTTCAGAGGACTCTGACTACAGAAACCTACCAATAATTCTGGTGGCCCATCTTCTGCATCTTCAGGCGACTGCTCTTCTCCAATTTTACTGCCGGAAGAAAACAAATTAAAACAAGCTCCACGTCATACAGACATTAAATGGAAATCTATTTTGATAGAAATGGAAATGACTTACCTCAAGTCCCAGACATTTAGCCTGCGGTCAGTGCCACTGGAAGCCAAGATAGTTTCATTGTGGGGAGACCACTGAACCTGAATTGAGGAAAGAAAGAAGTAGGAAAGGTAAGAACTGAAAGCTTGGTAGGGGGAAAACATCTCCAGTTTTTTATATATATATGTATATATATATATGTATATGTATATATATATGTATATATATATATATATACATATATATATATGTATATGTATATATATATATTAACAGAAGAGTAATGGAGATTTTAAAATTAGGTCATAGAATTTTAGAGTTGGAAGGTAACTTAGGGGTCATCTAATCTAACCTCCTCATTGTACAGAAGGGAAAAATGAATCCCAGAGCAGTAAAGTGATTCATCCAAAGCTACATGAATAGCAAATGGAAGAAGTGGCATTTGAACCCAGATCTTCTGATTCCAAAGATAAGGTTTGTTTTTTTAAAGTACTTACACATTTGAGGTCCCCTCCCCATTCATACATTTCCAGTCTTATAACATACCATTCACTTTGTTCGTTAACAAGATTTTATCAAACACTAAAATCGAGGCCCCATGCCACATGCTGGGGACACAAGAATGAAACAGAGTTAAGATATATACAGAAAGAACTATAATAAAAAGAAGAAATCCAAATTAAGTGCTAAGAGAAATCTGAAGGAAAGACCACCTAGCTAGAGGGATCAAAGAAAGGACTGAAAGAAAAGATGGCACTGGGGTTGAACCTAGAACGGAAAAATCTGGACAGAGATTTGGGAAGCAGTTTGGGGATACTGGCCAGTTTAAAACTATAACGGCTACTAAAGAAAAGAAAGTTAAAGCAGAAGTTCTCAAAGTGTGGTCCATGGATCCCAAAAGGGGGTCCACAAGGTCAAAATTATACTTATAATAACACTAAGACATTATTTGCCTATTAAAATACTCTTCCCCTTTCCAAGAACACATCTTTGTGAGGCTGAATTTTCTTCACATACTTCAACCAAAACAACATATCATAACAGATTAAATGTAGAAACAGATATGAGAATTCAGCTGTTCCCAATTAAGCCAGACATTTCCAAAAATATGTAAAACAATGCCATTCTTCTCACTCATTTTTTAAAAATATAAAGCATAAAACTGCACTAAGAATGTCTTGCAAAGCTATTTTTCGTAAATAATGTTACTTATGCTAGTATGTCAAGGGCTTATTGTTGTTTTTAAATGAATAAATATTTAAAAATTTTCAGTTTTAACCTCCAACATGGTAAATACAATAGAAAAAAACCCTTATAAACTTTGGGGTTGTCAATAATTTCTAAGAGCATAAAGGGGTTTGAGAACCACAGAGTGAAAACGACTTTAGATGAATGGTGTATTCAATCAAACTCTAAAATTACAAGCAAACTATAGTAGTGTTTAAGACTCAACTAAGCCAGATTATTCCAACAAAATTTAGAGAAAGAATTGGAAGAACAACAAAATTAAATAGATCTACTAGTGTTTTTAGATCCATTTTCATCTCTGAAGCAATACAATTCAGATTCTAACACTCTAGTACCTGTTGTGCTTAAGAGGACATTTAAGATGAATTTGGAAGAGTGAATGGAACTAACCAAGTAAACTAAACTAAACTAAAAATAAAAATCAGTGCTGGTGGGGACAATTCTGAATGCACTCACACTAATTTTTTGAAATCTCCCAAAGAAGTCAAAAGATTCAAAGAAAAATGATGAATGGTATTATTAGCAGAAATGGCAATCTGGAAGAAATTATTAGTGAACATATGTCTACCTTCTCATATCAATACAAAACATCAAAGTTCTTAATTTTTTTTTTTAAAAAGGGCAAAATGTAGAAACGTAGCCTTAAAGATTCTCCTCCAACAAGGCATCTGCTATACTTACATTAATATCATATAATACTGCTTCAGAGACGCAATCACAGATAATTCTGTTCAACAATCGCAACTGTCAACACCAAGCAAGGCATAAAGGATGTCCAAGTATCAAAAGGTGTTAGTTACTGTCAGAGAGGATGTTTACATACATTCCAAATGGAAAATTCTCTACAGACGGTTGGGGTATTTTAAACATTCCTATTTGTAGATTAAATTGTGCGGATTATATCAACCCCCACAATATCACAAGCCTCCTCAGTGAAATCTTCAGCCACTTAAGGGAGACATTCCACATAGGAAAGTCCAAGCGAATAAATAATATGCAGTCAAGGCTTGCCCATCAAATTAATCTAGCAATACATGCATCTGGGACAGTCACTGAAGATGAGCTGGGTCCAGAAGTGAAAAAGAGGCAGAGTTTGAGGGACTGGATTGCCTTTAGGAAACTGAACAGTGCTATCAATGATCTCAAGAGGCTCCTTGACATAAAACCTTATTTTTAATACCAATACTCTCCTGATGAAGTTATATATGGTAGTAAATCATGAAATGCCACATCATCCAAAGACTGAAATTGTGGGAAAATCAGAGGACCAACAAAGCTTGCATTTGAGATGTGGTATAAACACACCCAAAAAATATATTATGAGAAAAGGAAGCCAGCCAGTCACATAGCAAAGCTAAGAGATGACAGGTGGACAACCTGAGTGCTGGTACTAACAAAGAAGAAATGTTCTGATGCCTCCTCTGTTAGTGGATTAGTTAC